TGCTTCAGGAACATTCATCAGGAAGTCACACTGTTTCGTTGCGAGGTATGTAGTGATTCTCACTTTGTCCAATTCCAATAGTGCCTTTTCCAGCTCATTTTTTGCCCCAACAAAATTCGTACCTTGATCTGATCTAATCTGTCTCACAGCACCCCTAATGGCTATGAAACATCTCAAAGCATTTAAAAACGCATCGGTCGTGAGATCCTCCAACATTTCAATATGGATGCCTCTGGAACATAGATATGTGAACAACAACCCATACCTCTTGAATTCCTTCTGACCTTGTTTTGTGAAAAAGAGGTCAAAACGGTCAATTCCAATATATGAAAATGGGGGTGAGGGATCTACCCACTCAACAGGCAGGTCTGACATATGCTGTTCTTCGGTTGGTCTGCGCAACTTCCTGCAAGTTACGCAGCATTTAATATGCTTATCCACCGGCTCTGAGCCCGTTCAATGTTTGGCCTCTGCCTTGGTGCTCAGTTTTCCTGTGACAGTGGTCAAGAATTAGTTGTGTGACAATGCCTTCTGCAGGAAGAATTACAGGATGTTTTAACTCAAAGGATGCAGAAGACCTTTTCAACCTTCCTCCAACTCTCAAGTAGTCCATTTACAAGGAAGGGATCAAGTTGGTAAAACTTGTGAGTTTTTGGCAATTTTGGAGATTTTTCTCTAAACCATTTCAGTTCTTCTTCAAAGGACTCCCTTTGAGCTATCCTGATAATAATAGTTTCAGGTCACGAGGGAGCGGTTCATCCCACCCTATGCTACGTTTGCACATTTCTTGTAGCACTCTTTTCCCGAGCAAAATGTAGGGAGAAAGAAATCCCAAGGGATCATACACACTTGCAAATACTGACAGAATTCCACGTCAGGTGACAGCTCTTTCATTAAGAACAACGTTGAATGTAAACATATCTGTCTGTACATTCCACTGTACTCCCAGTACATTCTGCATTAAAGACTCACTGTAGTTCAAATCTACATCCTTTACAGCACTGGCACATTGACTTTCGGGAACTGCATCCAAGACATCTTTGTTATTAGACAGAAATTTGTGTAAACGTAGAGTACCTTTAGCGCGTACCTTTTGTGCCTCACTGATAAGCTGTTTGGCTGCCTCAACTGAATCAATACTGATAAGCCCATCATCCATTTTTTTGCGAATGAAGCTTGCTGCCAAGGGGTAGTCCCTCTCATATTTACTGGCAAGGTATTTCATGCCGTAGTTGGCACATCCAGGAGATGATGCAGCCCCAAATATGTGCACTCGCATGCGATACTCCTTGATTTCACTTTCTGTAATCCCATTTTCCCACCAAAGGAACTTCAGAAAATCTCAATCTTCTGGGTAAACATGAAAACGGTGGAACATTTTCTCCACATCACAGGTTATTGCAATTTGGTGCTCACAAAATCTACACAGCACCCCAGTGAGGGTATTCATCAAATCAGTTAGTATAATGGCAATTAATACAAAACTCTGGTGCTACTTTGTTTTTGCATGATTTTCCAACACTGCTTTTCCTTCATATGTAACTGAAATTGTGGCTGGGCACAAAATACGAGTGATGGAGACGAGGGAGGGGGGTATTCCACAAAGCAGTGTTTTTCCATTAGCCAGATAACTTAAGCCAGATATAAGGAATGTCCAATAGGAAGGTCGCTTACCTCTCTTATATTCGACAGTTTTCATGTTTGGCTTAAGTTATCCAGTTAATTGGGACATCATGCTTTTGTGCAATATCTTGCAAATCTCTTTGGTTGTGCCTTATCCATTTTCGCCCCCTCTGAGTTGCACGTTGTAACTCACTTTCTCTTTGACGTGGTTGTGGATGTGCACGGCAGACTGACAGCTAGGTAATACGGTAAATTTCATATTTCTGCTAATCAAATGAAAGTCTAATCAAGGTCAATCGTCGTGTGTTTTACTCGTTTTAAACCATTTACGGACGCAGGATGGGCTACCTGAAGCTACTCAAGTCTGCATAGAAAACATGACGGGAAAAAGAAAGTCTTGTTCTCTCAGTGACAAGTATAGACTCATCATAACTTATGACAAACCGTCAAAAACGAGCCACCGAGATGCGAAATTACAATAAGCCCATTGATATAACACAATGTTGCGAAACTGCGCTGTTTAAATACAATTGAATACTAAATACTATACTGTATTATAGTGTATTTGAATTTTACACAGTTCAGTCAATTTAATTTGTACAGTACTGTAATTTGAAAAGAGTTTGAAACAGCTGTACTGTATTTTGAAATCGTCAATAAAATTAATTACTTTATATTGTAATAAATATACAAATGTCAATGGTAATCTGCCTGACACATAAAAAAATTGGTAATAGTCATCATCGGCTTATAGTGAACAATTTGTGATTAATTGGTTTCCACTGTATATGTATATTCCAGGATTTGAAACTGGAATGCTATTCACATTGCTGCAGAATTTCTGAATTAGATCCTTGGTGTTTATAATCATATTTGGGTGCTATGGAGGCTCTGTGATTAACACTGTAGCCTCCCAAGTCCAGTGTTGTAGGTTCAGTTCCTTTCTCTGGCTCTGTGTGTATGGAAAGCTTGTATGTTCACTCCATGTTTGTGCCCTGTGATGGGCTGGTTGTTCCGCACTGTCCCCTGTTTTACTGTGAGCCTGTTATGGGCAGAAGAGCAGCAGCATGGTTTGAGTGGTGCTCAATGAGTAAGGATGCTGTGCTTGGGATCAGGTGGTCACTGGTTCAAATCTCAGCATGATTTCACTGCGGTGGCATGGTGGTTAGTACTGTTGCCTCACGCCTCTGGAACCAGCGTTCAAGGCTGCACCACAGCTCTGTGGGTGTGGAGTTTGCATGTTCTACCTGTGTGTGCTTTTCTCCTTGTGGCATTTCCTCCAGGTACTCTGCCACCCCCACCCCCCACACACATACACACAATCCAAAAACATGCCAAAGTTAATTGGAGTCACCAAATTTTCTGTCGCAGTGAATAAATGGTGTGCAAGTGTGTCCTATGATGGATTGTTGTTCCCTGCCTTGTGCCTGTAGCCTCCAGGATAGGTTCCGGACCCCTGTGACCTTCAATAGGACAAGCTGTTACAGAAATGGATGGATGGATTGCACTCTTGAGCCCCTCAGCAAGGCCCTTGATGTCCAATTACTCAAGTGACCAACCCTTCAAATGTATGTTGAATTGGATGAAAGCATCTGCTAAGTAAATATTTGCCATATCAATGAACAATCACATATTGAGAAAACATTGCATAAAATATCGCCAATATAACAATGACCACTAGTGGCCATAAGAATTCTATGAGTTTTGCTTATACAGGGACCTTAAGGAATTGCTTTGTAATAGCTTCAGTATGCCTGTCCAGCACAGATATTAACACATACTGTAGCATGGCATAAACAACATGTTTATCAATATTCTGTTATACAAAAACATAGGAATAAGGTACAAGAAGATACTCTTGGTTGCAAAATGATGGATGTAGCAAAATTTAATTTCTAAGAATTCTAGAGCAGAGGAACGAGAACCATGCGATTTTTGTCTTATTGGTACCTCTATTCTAAAGTTAATTCAGTTTTAATTCCTAGTAGTTCTCATCCTAATTTTGGAAAAATCTGGGAAAGAAAATGCTGCATACTGTACATCTGCACATCTGGCCTGTATACAGGGAGTGGAAAAAATAACAGCAGTTCTGTCTTATTAGTTATTTTAAGTCGCTTTTGATAAAAGCATCACAGAAATGTGCTAAATGTAATGTGAGTTCTGTTGCTATACACCTATACATGACCTGAAAATTGTCACTTTTAGGGTTTTATCAAGTGCTTTATGTTGATTATATAATAACAGAAATGTAATTACATTGATTTAAACCAGGAAATATTTTGAATAGTTTATCAATTTACTTTCTCCATTTTACAGTAAATTTATTCATCATTTTGCATGTAATCACAGACAGTTTTGTAATATATATTCAGAATTCTATATCATAAAGTAGTATACATGTCACTTCAGACTTTGCTCAGAGTAGTGTGGTGCATGTGGCCTGCATTCTCATGAGGAGGAAATTCTTGTTAGTAGTGTAATGTTCTAAATGCTCATTTGGTTCAGGTTAGTGTGATGGACAGATGAGCACTGCTCTGTTAAAAGAGTTGGCAACTTTTCTGACACGTGGCAGGGTGTACGTATTCCATTCTTTTTGCAGAATTTAGCCTCTCTAACTCTAGTAATTAAGCAATTGCTAATAAGGTAATAACTAATTGAGCACTTCTTATTGCAACTGTGAAAACACTCTCATTGGCTGCTGATTATCATAAACTCTGCTAATTTGAAAGTTAATGCTATTAACCTGTTGACCTGGTCGACGGACATCAATTCATAGTGGCCATTAAATGGATCAAGGTTATAGCCATCAGAGGATATGCCTTGGCGTCTGCGTGACTGTAGCTTCATGGGCGTGTGTATATGTTCAGGTATGACGTTCAGTTGATCGCTTGTCTCACCACTTTTGATTCATATTTGCCATTGCCTGGTTGCAAGCCCAGTTCTTTAAATAGAGGTACCCCCTCCCCATCTTTACATTTGCAGCGTGGTGCTTTCCAAACCTCACTGGCGATGAACTCTGAAATCTAAATGCATTTACCCTTAAAGTGATGCCCATCAGTCATGGCATAGATCTTTGTTGGCCGTAGGTGTGGCTTGTGTCAAATCCTTTCCACAAACAGTTGCTGGGAGGGGCAGCTGTGTTGAGTCTCTGACTGCCATTCATCCCTCTTCTCGAATGCATGGTCATGTTCACAGGTCACTGACTAATGACTGTACCCCCAGATCTCAGGCATTCTTTAGCCTAATCAGAGGTCTTTATTAATGTCAGGGTGATTAGCAGACACTCATTAACCTTAAGTGACTGTATGGTGCCCATGTCACTCTCTTCAGCACAGAGCAGAGTATAAATGGTTCCACAGTGAGACGAAGACCCTCACACATTTCCTCTATCAAGCTCTAGCTCACTCTGCCCATCCAAGACCTCTGCACACGGTAAGTCTCTCCTATTATGATTATTATTTCTTCTTTCAGCCATTTCACTTATTCAAACTAATGTTATGTCCATGTTACAAGCTGTCTGACCATGTTAGTTTTACTGTCTGCCTGAAGGATTTCATGCTAGAATTCCTTAAGTACATTTTATTCAGATTTTGATCAACGAGGATAAAAAGGGCTACTTTATTTGGTCTCACATGATTGTATTTCTTACCTTCTAAGCCACAGGACTGAATAATCATGTCACATTCCAGCAACAGAATAAGCACCTTGTGCTACACTTCTGTCTTTCCTTTCATCACATCCTCCTCTTCTCTCTCCTCTTTACCGCCCTTCTTTTTGACACAGATGTCCGGAGCCACTGTGTCGGTATGCCTGCTGAGCCTGTTGTCTGTCTCCATGGCCTGCTACATCTCCAACTGCCCCATCGGGGGAAAAAGGTCTCTGTTGGACTTTCCGTCACGCAGGGTAGGAGCCCGTCTAGACCAGCCACTTTCCGCACCTTCTTGCTGTATTTGTCAGTTGCTGGGACTCTTTCAATTTAAATGCGACTTAATACAATAACATTATATTTGGCTGTTAAATCAAAGAAATGCTTTGTCAGAGAGAACACAGCGCCTGCTGAACGATTAATGAACAATAATCATTGTTTTTCTCATTGGTTTTCTTAAATCTTTTTTGCCAGTGTTCGACATGTGGCCCCGGGGCCAGGGGCCGCTGCTTTGGCCCCAGCATCTGCTGTGGGGAGGGGATGGGCTGCTACGTGGGCTCCCCGGAGACGGTGCGCTGCCTGGAGGAGAACTACCTGCCGAGTCCCTGCAAGGCTGGAGGGAAGGTGTGCGGCGCCGAGGGCGGGCGCTGTGCCGCTTCGGGCATCTGCTGTGACACAGGTCAGTGCAGGTACCAAGTGACTCACTCAGTACTGCACCATATGCATTTAGTACTGCATCCTTTAGCAGTATTTTCTTGCGTTTTACTTTGTAATGACCAAAGCCTGTCTGACCATAGCTTGTCATAGTTATCCCCATACGATTCTTTCCTAATACAGAGAGCTGCACCGTTGACCAGTCTTGCATGGACGGAGATGGTGATGACAGTCAAGTTGGCCGCACCGAGAACGGCGGCCCCAACCTTGACGGAGACGTCTTCATGAGACTTCTCCACCTAACTGGCCGCACTCCTCCCCAGGGTCTCCCCCAGTAGGATTTTCCAGTAGCTGAGATGGTGTGGTTGTATAGGACTGGGATGAAAAAACAAAGAGATTGGTGCTGATTTGCCCCAAAATCTTACATGCTTCTTCTAAGCACTTCATCCCAGGACATGTCGAGCCTTTCAGGATGTGAAACACCTGTACATTGACTTTATACTACAATCTAATATAAATATCTGTGTATAAAATGGCTTGTAATCATCTGCTAATCTATTGTAAACATCGATTTACTGTAAAAAATATCTATGTGATTAATAAAGCTATTGAGATCTTCTCTGTGGTTCAGAATTGTGTTAGATATACTTCAACATGAGATTGACTCAAAATCAGATTTATAATTCAGTCTGATGTCATAGGCTCTCACTAGTTACTAGAGCTATGAGTTTTCAAGTCTGACACTCAAACCATAACAGGATATAAAAATACATACTCTAAAAGGACTTACCAAAATACCAATATGTTTATTCTCTTTTCACTACATTTTCAAAGAAAGTCGCATGCAGGGCAGTTTAATTCAGATAATAAAAAAAGTTCAGAAAAAAATGTCCTTTCTCTTTCATAAGCCTGACACTAACTCGACAAAGGCTGTTGTCTTTTATGATGCGTTCTCTGTAATTTGGTGTGTTAGTGAGTCCAAAGACATGGGCACCTCTCATCTGTTTCTTTTACTATGTAACAGTCTCACCTTAGAGACACTTAGATGGCAACCTAAAAAAAGACCAACCCAGAGAAGGATGCTGCTGTCTTTACAGGTTTTCAAAATGCTGTTTTCCTTAGAGTTGCTGTTTTCAACTGATCTGCCCAAAACCACAGCAACATGGGGATAAGGATTGGCTTATCTGGCAGGTAAACCATATAATTTTAACAAAGGATAAAATCAGAGTCGCCACATTTCTGTCAGGCCCTTGAGCAAGGCCCTTAACCCCCCGGGAAATGCTTTGGGGGTGTCCTGATTGAGGAGTCGAATGGCCTGGGGATAAAAACTCCTTCTGAGTCTTTCTGTCTTGGCCATGATGTTGCGGAACCTTCTGCCTGATTGCAGAAGCTAAAATAGTTGAAGTAGAAATAGAGAAGGTCAGAGTCCAGGGAACAAAACTTCTGATAGGAAGCTTATCTGTACAAGCAATGGAATGTCAGCAGTAGCATGTCATCATCTTTATGGGGGAAGATAAAGGCTTGATAATTGTACATTACTTAATATAAACCATAACCATGTGATCAATTTCCTATGACTATAAAAGGTAAATTGATCAGTACTTGAGTATAGATGGGAGTTTTGACCAGACTGAGAAAGCATATAGTATAAAAATAACAAATTACATAATTAAAACTAGCTGCTTATATTTTTGTGCAACAATGTTAGCTTTAATGGTTTCAGGAAGTTTAAAGACAACTAGTAACAAATGGGGCTGCAAATACAAACACAGTAATGGCCAACTGCCACTTGACTTGTACGTATAACTGAGAGCACTCACTGGGCCTAGTGCTCAGCCATAAATTTGTTACCCCATTTTTTTTTTCAAGGTAAAATGTCAAGCTGAAACAACTTTGTAAACTGATACTGTGTTATTTATTAAAACATAAATATTGATTAGTTCAATACAGGGGATGTATCAAACTTACCATGAGCAGCGTAACCATTAAAACAGTCCCACAGTGAACCCTGGGTGTTTCATGGCGGTACCCAATCAACTGGCAGTTGACTACTGCTTCAGGATGGGGGTGGGGTTGTATTATCGGAGTGCTGACAGGGGGACAGTGTGGTTAATTAAAATGTGCTGTGAATTTCTGTTGTTAATTAGTAATTTTTTTTTACTGTCAAATGTGTTTTATTATTTATTATAAAATAAATACATTTTTTGGAATTCCTGTGGTCCTCCTGTCCTTAGAGGCCAACCCAGTGGGTTTTGATGGTACCTCACAATAACTAAAAGTATGATGATAACTCAAGAAATTAAGCCTTTTCACTGGGTTTACAACAAATTTAGAGCAGATATGAAAATCTGCATAACCTAAAAGGTGCTCATTGTGTTGACCTCTTGTCTAACTAAGATTATTAGCATTACGTTAAATTGGTTAACAGGACACGTTTTAATGTCTTACAACAAACAAAATAGCTGGAGTGTTACAGGAGTCGGTCACAAGACCCCTGAAGTGTGGAAACACTCTTGATTCAAATGTGCAGATCTGGACTGAAGATCTCAGATGTTAGCTAAGCTAAGGCTGGCTGGGGCAGCTGCCTGTGCTGTGGAATGCGGCTCATGAGATCACCTGAGAGGCGCCTTCACGGGAACACGTTGAACTTCGCTCCAAGTAGGAGATGCAGCGTCAACCCTGGCCAACCAGAGCATCAACCCTGGCCATCAGAGTAGGGTCACAGCTAGTATTTCTGGGGCCCCACGAACAGAGGGGCAGGGTAGGGGGGTCCCTGCCATAGAAATTGCTGTGCAGGGGTCCCATGGTATAATTTCTGTAGTGGGTGCATAATGGTTCCCTAGTGTGAACATGATCATTTTTCATGTTCCAGGTCCCCTTCAATCTGCCAGACCAGGTCAGGCTTTCTGAATCTGATTTATACAGATTTGGTAGTTAACATGGATTACATTAAGTTCGAGTTAAATTTCGAGTAAAGCAGCATGAGCATGGACGGCTTCCTGCCAAGGGAGTCACGGGGCGATCACAATAAAAAGAAGAAGAAGGAAAAAAAGGAATGGTACTTTTGCGCAATCGGTTTTGATATCATTCATTTGCGCGTCAACTCAATGATGTCATGTCACCGTGTGGGTCAGAGTGAGTGCTTGTTTGTCACTTGACACGTGAGGGAGAGGGCAGGGGTAGGCTGACCTCGGATTTCCGCACTACAGCGGGTGCAACGGGGGGGGAGAGAGAGAAGGGGGATCACATAGCGTACCGCTTTATACTATACTATCGCAGATAGTGAAACCACAGTAAGAAATGTTACCAAATAAGCCACAATTCATTTATAATGAAGTGAATATGTAAATTTATGGACATAATTGGTTGTGGGGTGTGTGAATTCGTTAATAACATAAAACCTGTTTGCGCACCACCAAGGTGAACCATGTAATTGCGGGGCAGATTTCATACGATGATGTAATTGATGACTTTGCATCAAGGAAGGCAGGAAAGGTCAGGTTTTAAATGACATTTGTATGACATTTATGTGTCTGTGTGTTTGTGTGTGTTTGTAGTGTAATAAGTTATCTTCTGTATTCTTTAAGTGTATTATATGCTATTTATAGATTTGTGTGATAAGAATTTATTTGTATATGTATATTATTTTTTCCAGTCTCGTCAATTTATTTTTGCTATATATGCTATATTATTATATTTCAATGTCTTACTAAAAATTATGAAATGATGATTAGTTCAGTAATGTGCCTTTTTTGTTGGTGGGTATGGGGTTGTGTTCACCCAGAGCGCCATACAAGCTAGAATCCCCACTGACAATATTCATTTTTGCAAAATGTGTTTGATCGGAACTGCAATATGTTTCCTCATTTTTAGTTACGCTACATGCAATCGCATATCAATTTAATTTCCGCGCTGAGAGAAAAAGATTAAACTCCGCCTTTCAGTTAATGATTATAGTCGCCGCCGAATGGATATAAATAAGGTTTCCTCAAAATTAGATGTTACCTTTTTCATTTCGTTCAAAATGGCATTTACCGGAAAATACGAACTTCGTTCTCATGAGAGTTTCGAGCCTTTCATGAAGATGATCGGTAAGTGACTGGCAATTACCTTGTGATTGTTCGATTTATTAAAAAAAAATCTAATAGTTTAATCGCCTTCTAAATCAACTACACCGACTGTCGCTATCCCCTACAATAAAATACATTCCCCAAGTCTCCCTGATGAAATGATCGAACAAAGTAAAGAAATAAAGAGCATCTCGGAGATCGAGCAGAGTGGTGACCATTTCAAAGTGACCATAACGACGGGAGCCAAGGTTCTAGTCAACTCTTTCACCGTGGGACAACAAACCGAGCTGGAGACGATCACAGGAGAAAAGGTCAAGGTGAGAATGATTAAATGCAGCGCTTGATCATAATCGCAACTGCTTGTCTGTGTGGGCTTCTTCTTAAGTCGAATATTATATGCTACTGATGAAATTTTAAAATGATGTTCATGGTTGCTGGTAGTCTGACTTGCAGTAGAAGGCAAACTGCTTTTGATGGTTTGGAATACATACCTGGCACCTGACTCTGAACTTTCTACAGACTGTAGTGAGACTGGAGAGTAACAAGCTGAGGGCGTTGCTGAATGGTGTTGAGTCTGTGACTGAACTTGTTGATGAGAATACGCTAGTCAATGTAAGTATGACTGGGAAGGTGCCCGGCTGCATGAGAGCCGCTATTCCTGCTCCTTTATAGACAGTCATCTTATCTCCTACATTTTTGCTTTCGTTTCAGTCTTTGATTTTAGGAGGCGTGACATACAAGGGGATCAGCAAACGCATGTAGAGCTGGGCTCTATGTGGCTTGGTGCAAATAAAAAACAAACAGTTTGCATGTTGTGACTTGTCCCTTTCTTCCCCATGTTTTCAATGCCTGAGTTTATTAGCAGGTATTCATCATTCAACAGAGCCTTTAGGTGACCAACTTTTAATTCAAGTCTGGCACAACTTTGACAGCATCACCCATAAATAATTAACTAACACACACAGCGTACAGCTGCAGCGCTTTGACAGGGCTGTCCTGTGCATGTGTACTGCCTCAGCTCAGGTGGTTTCAGCTTGAGAGACTTATCTCTTAACCAGTGACAAGGAAGGGCTAAACCAAAGCCCCAGCTAATGAATTGCTAATAAATTAAGTTGCTGTGGGTTAAGCAGTGACATACTGCACTTCAGAATCACACCGGAATGTAGCCCGACTTTCTGTGCTGGGGATGGTCTGCTTTGCTATAGGCAGATGGTGCAAGTGCCTTTGTAAGACTCAACGGTACCAACATTCGATTGGTGAACTTTATGGTTCCTTAAAACCATCAGGTTTCTTTGGAATAGAAGCAATGGATGCTGTTGCTGATTCTGGTAGGTATGCAAGATTGTTTCCGTGATTCCCCAAAGATTCTTTTACTGTTTAAAAAATGGCAAAGGATGATGAGGTACACTGCATAAAGGCAAGTAAATGGCAACAAGGTCATTTCCTCCGGAAGAGGTTCTTGATGCCTTCCTCTACGGGCTCCGGCCTCATGCTCATTGGCTGGTTCTTGAGGGCCGCCTCTCGCATGCTGTGGTAGACGTACTCGTTCTGCTGGAACATGCGCAGCTCCATCTCTGTCTGCCTGCGCATGGCCTGTCGAGCAGAATGGGAATCTGGCTCAGAGACCCTGGGTTTATTGCCGCTGATGGCTTTACCCTCAGACAATCGGTTCAATGACACTTCAAGGACACCTGTGTGCGCTGCTTAATGAAAGGTTGCTGATTTCTTTGCAGTTTCGGAAACAAAGGTCATGATTCATTGATTGCACTCAGGCTGAAGTAAGATTAACATTCGCGATTTATATATAGTTACAAGGGTACAAAGAAAAAAAGCAGCAGCAAAAAATATCTGCCTGTGTGGAATGTGCAGCTTCAGACAAACAGATAAAGTAAATCATGAGCACTGGTTCTCCCAGTCACTGTTCAGTTGAATGTAGCAGCATTTACAATTCATTAGTATCAGGGGTGGACTGGCCACCAAAAGTCAAAAGGAATTTGCTGCTGGGGTGGGGGGGGGGGGTGGTCCCCCTCGGTCCCCCTAATTGCAATCAACCATTTGGCCACCAATGCAATGAACAGTCGTCCAATAATCATCTCCTGCACTCGACCCGGAAGTAAAGCAAGATTGACCGACGCGTATATAGGCTGTATATTGCCGGGTTAAAAACCGGTCCACTGGGAACATTATATTTAGCTGACACTTTAGCAGCTGAGATCCCAATGGTGATATGATTCCTCTGCTACATACAGCATATGAACCCACCATAGGCGCAGATTTGTAACCTGCAAAGCTGCACATTGCACACAGCCTTACGTGTGGCTTAACTGGGGTCAGAGGTTACCTCGAGGTCCTGGGTGATGGGGTGGGTTGGCCCGTGGGTGATCATTATAATGGCGTAAGCTTTGCAGATCATACTATGTCCAACCTCGATGAAACCAGCCTGCCAATGCGTCACCCCCGCTCGCATGGTAGCCATGCCCAGCGCCGCATTGTTGGGGTGATACAGCTTCCTGGGTCGGTATCAGACGCATATATTGTTAACAGGGTGCATCATCACAAAAAAAATTAAATGTGCAGTAAACTTTCAATTCAGTTCTAACAGGGTCTGAATTACTCAAAGAGATCTGATGAGAGCCCCCCCCCCCCAGACAGACAGGGGTGGGCGTACTCACATATAGCCCTCCACCATCCTGCGGGAGTACGTAGCGGCCTCGTCAATGAACTGCAGGTAGGACAGCACCTCGCTGGCCGTGCTCAGCACGCGCAGCATGTACAGGTGGGTGTCGGCCAGCACCTTCTCCTGCTTCTCCAGGCACTCCCGGGAGATCTTTACCACCTGGGAGGTGTGGGTGCCACAGGAACAATGTGGAATCCTAATCTTCAACATTTGGTCACTGAAAACGGGCCTGTATATGACAAGGTTTCGTGGCTCCTTCCCTTCCATTGCTGATTTTATTTTATTGTTAAACCTGAAGATAATATTAAGTGAGCAAGATATCTTTAAAGATTAAATTGACAATGAAACTTATTTTCCCCTTGTACAGGGTAAAGTAAACATACAGGAAACAAATGCAGGACAGATAATGAATCCAGGTTGTTCTACCTCATGGTAGTCCCCTTCAACACGAGCTTTTTCCATCTTCTCCAGCATCTTCAGACTATACTCTGTCACCTCCTTCACCTCCTCCTCAGATGGCTAAGGGAGGTTAATAGAGATTGTTATGGTAGCTCTAATATTCATGGATTTTCACATTGAACGCTAACAAATAGCTGCCTGTTATGATGGTCTGTGTACACTAGATGGCGCCACTAAGTAAACACCATATCTTGATAGAGACATGAAGTACTAAAACAATTTCAGTTATGAAAAAGTTGTCACTTTCTGATCATAATCAATGTTTTGACATCAAATTTAATGAAAAATTTAAAGGAATGCTTAAATGCTGCTTTTTTGAACTTTATATGTTCAATGTTTAAAAATGTTCTAATCATAAAAGCTAAAATGGGAATTATTGTCATTCTCTCCATCCTCCAGCTGCATACTCAGTCCAGGGTCCCCTGAGGCCTATGCTTTTTCCCCAAATGCACATATGTATCACTGCTATAATTTTATTAGTTACCAGTGTTACATGAAAATGCATTAATCATAGGCATAATTATTGCGTAATTTAAGAAAATGTGCTGTTCTTAATAGAAAGAATTCTATGAAAACCATTTTTCTTCTTTGGATGCTCCCCCCCCCCCATTTTACTAATAAAACAAGCTCAGAACAATATATAATTCATTTGGGGCTCATTTAAGGTTAAATTCAGCATATAGGGTCCCTGAAAGTCAGACTGTTTGGGAGAAAACCAGACGTGTGGGAGCCCTAAATAAGCCGATAAGAGAAGGGCTCTCACTGCTTTGTGACTGCTGGGTTGAGCTCTTTCTGGTGGTATAATGTTCTGCTTCATCTCAATGGCTCCATTTAACTGCAGTGCCTTATCAGGGCTGCATCCACTATTGCTGTTGCCTACTAATTATAGCAGGTGATGAAAGTCTCTTCTAAAGAGCAGAATGCTGCAGTATTTGTTGAGAGAGTTTCCATTGGCTGCTAGAAAGACTTTCTGATCTTTCCAGTCTCCCAGCCCTCTGTGGGGTCCTTAAGTGTTACTCTAAGCCATAAAAAGTTTCACTGCTCTTTGTGGCCAAGTGCTCTATTTATAACCATCAACAAACTTCCTTGCTCTGACTCCCAGGAACATGGCGGACAGAGGGGTGACAGAGGTGGCTGGGGACAGACGGTCACACTCGGTCTGACAGACACACGCCGTACCGCAAATGTGACTGACAGAGATAATATGTTACTTCATGTAGTAAACAATCAGGCTTTGCCCCCGAAGTTCATGTAATGTCGTTTGAGCTGTTTTCCAGATGGGTTGTCGCATTAGGGTGCGTGAAGCGAGTTAAAGCCATATTGCTATGATGTGTCTGATAGACAGATATGTTCACATTGCTCTTGGTAACACCTGAAAGGCCCAAAGCCCCCCCCCCCACCTTATTATCATCCACTTCCTTGGCGGCCATCATGAGATCATCCTTGATGTGCTCGGTGCAGTGCTTGCAGGTGCAGTCAAAGAAATACTGCTGCTTAAGCTGCCGTTGCCGCTCGCTGGAGACGTTGAGGAAGTCCACGTAGGCCACCGTCAGCTCCTCCCCTGTGCTGATCTTCCCCAGGGCCCGCAACTCAATCCTGAGGGAGAGGAAAAGGGTGATTTTGGGAAGGGATGCAAGCAGAGGGAGATGGGGCAGGATGATCTTATGGAAATTCCATGAAGACCCAACATTTTGTACCACTGTGTGACGACGGTGCGTCTGCTGGCGACAACTTGGTGAACCACATTAACACCCGAATGACCTGCTCACTACAATTCCAAATACTCTGCTCAGACAAAGCAGATAAAGCTCTGGAGAAAATTAAGAGACGACAGCAAAATTTTTAGTTTCATTCATTTCTCAATTTATGGGTATGCACCTGTGTAAAAATATACATTTGTTTGCAAACTCCAGTTTGGCTCTTCCCTGCTTCTCAGTGATGAAGGGCTTCTTCCTTTCTTGATTGGTCTTCAGTCCTGCTTCTAGGAGCCTGTTATGAACTGTCCTGGCAGTGCACTTCACACCACTTAATGTTTCCCATTGTTTTTGAACTTGAGGTCATCCTCCGATTTATGATGCACTGCCAGATAAGTTAAGGGTCATCACTGCATTAGACAGTTGTTTTTGCTCCCTACCTGGCTGGTTTTTGGTTACTGCCAGTGACTCCTGCTTCACTTTTTTCTCAGAAAATCTGAGCCCGGAGGCAGCCTGACGCTCAGTTTAGATTTCTGCCAGCAGAACCAGGATTAAACCAGAATTTAAAAATGCTGATTTAAATAATATATAAAATGGTCTCTTAATTTTTTCCTGAGCTGTATATGAAATGTATCTATCTCATAACCAGGGATGTACATAACTTGTATGAAAGTACGCATTCATCTTTAAAAATGATACATGTGACAATCAATTGTGGTAACAGTGTAAATGTGTACTTATTTTATGTGCATTTGTGCTGATATGAAAACAAAATGTAGTGCATTTTAATCTTTATATGCTAACTCTACTTCATGTGCGGTATACAGGTTAAAATGCAAGGTATTTTCTTGTTATATCACATAAAATAAGTACGCATTTACTCTGCTACCAGAATCGATTGTCGCACGTATCGTTTTTAAATGTGAATGCCTACTTGCGTATCAGTTATCAACACCCTCCTGTGTACATCCCTAGCATCTACACTAACTCCTGTGCTGGGTTTTCTTGCTGTCATCTGAGCCCTGTCTCTCCTCAGGGTCACACCCATGCCTCATTAGTCGCTTTAGTGTGAGTTATCAGAAGGGCTGTATCAGTTAATTCCATTGGCCAGCGGGTGTGTTTTGGCTCAAACCATGAGACGAGGAGGAGATACCAGTAAGAGCAGAGACATAGATGGCTTGGTTATCGCTACCAGCAAGCTCCATAGACAAGCAAACATTTGTTGAGCGACAGAGGGAGAGAGAGAGAGAGAGAGTTATCAAAGGCAGAATGATCAAATAGCTACACACAACAACAGGTAGAATGAAAATCGAGAGAGAAAAGGTGAGAAGTATTTGCTGGCTGGGAAATCAGTGGGAAACAACATGCAGACATACAAAGGAGAGGAAACTGGAGACAGCGATGGCAGGACAGACAAAATGGTGGACAGGCAGATGAATAGACAGGACAAGCAGCTGCCTTTAGACATGATGAGACAGGTGGCTTGACGAGACAGATGGGCTTGACTGCTCTGTGGAGGAACACCTGAAAGACCCAAGCCCTTGATTTAAATGGATGGTACTCTGTAAAGCAGCAGCTAACACTGTTTGTTTACCCATAAATGATACTGATGAGTGTCGCAAAGGGCTATATCCCTATTATTCAAATCACGGTCCTCGAGGTCCGAGCACTGCTGGTTTTCCAGCCTTCCTTCACCTGTCAGTCAGGTGTGAAGCCTCAGACCAATCAGAATCAGTAATTATTAAACTAACTATCTGGGAGAACTGAAAACAAGGCCTGGATTTGGATTCGAGGTCCAGATTTGAAGAACCCTGGGCTATACCATCAAATAGTTCTCCTAAATCATCAAGTATACACCTCACCTGTTACAGACATCCCACCTTAGGCATATTAATTTCAAGGAGGCATTGAGTATTATGGTAATAATACTCATACCACGCTAATACCCCCCATTTAATGAATATACCCCCTACCTCACCCTGAATAGCAGTGCTTTTAAAAATACCATTCAAATTTCATATATCAAGGTATAATGTTTGAATGGTGAGATGGTATTTAAGAATTAGATACCACCCAGCCAGGGCATAGGAGCTGCTGGTAGACAGATCTGCCGAGCAGGGCTAGGCGATGACCGGAACATTTGCCAACCATTAGCTGACCGAGCGGGGCAGGGTTGCAGTGGTGAAACTTCTTGCCAGTTCATTTTACCGAATTTTAATCAAATAGCAGAACAACAGATTTCCGGGACAATGTACATCATTTGTGGGTGTCAGGGAGCTGCCCTCAATTTGTAAGAGACTTCCAGAACTTCCACGAGAAGCGGGATGTCTTCTGTTACCACTAGGAGCTAAAAGCTGGCAAAGGCTGTTTTTCTTTATCAAATACTGTATTGTTAAGTGTTTGTTGGGTTTATCTGGAGTGATTGTTCTGAACACCTCATCCAACACACTTATTCTATTCCACCATCAGCAAACTTGATTCAATTAACCTCTCCTGGACCCCTAATTTTGACCCTCTGACTATTTGTTCTTCGTTTTAAGGTGTTCTTGTGACAGAGAAGATTCTCAGAGAGAAACTTACAAGTAAGTAAAAGAAAGACATGGAACAGAAACAATGTTTAAAACAGAAAAGTGACTGTGATTTTTGTGTTATACTCAACTGATATCAGCGTGATTAGGTTATGTTTGGGGGTGTGTGAGGTAGCAGGCTAAATAGGTGGGAACTTTTGTGTGTGTGGGAGGGTCACACCAAACAGACCCACCTCCTTTGAGTGTGAAATAGAGTGTTCACAGCTGTCTGACTGAAAGACAAAACAAAAGCCAACTTGTTTACAGACACCCTAATAGTCCAGCATGGTTCCTACACAAGCTCTGCTCTCCCTGTCACACACTCATACACCCGCCACAGTCAACACACTCCCCTCATATTGCTCATTACCCCCACCCAGTGGTCACTGCTCTCTCTCACGCACTGGTGCTGCAAAAGCCGTCAATTGCTCCTCCAACCATGAAACAGGACCGGACTGGAAGTGAGGCAGAGGTACTCACTTCCCATTGTTGAGGATGACGGTGCAGTTGGGCCAGCAGTCGTGGTTGATCAGGCACAGGTTTGGGAAGAGGCCCACCCCTACTGCGTTGAGCCCCCGGTGGTCACTCATTGAAAAGCCATTACAGTTAATCTGTAACACAAGTTAATTCGGGAGGAGTGGTGCTTTTATATTTACCAGCCGTACATCAGCTACAGCAAAAATGATTAACACAAAGAGAAGGAAACGTGATTCATAAGAGCTAAAAAATTAGACATCAACGCTGAATCTGTGAAAAGTGCTGTGGGTGTTTGTGAAGATGAAACGGTGGTGAGTAACGTTTAAAAGACACATAAAAGTATATATAAGCTGAAAGGATGAAGATACAGACCAAGCCGAGGACATGGGAGACGTCCTCCACTTTGTGAGGTTTGCTGTAGCGAGGCCAATAGTCCAGGAAGTGAAGAACATCCATCTTGAGGTCCTTCAGGTCTTCTGGCAGCATGTCAGACACGTGATTCTCCAGATCATCGATGGAGATGAGCTGAGTGTCCGACACAATCCCTCCCTCCTTGTCAACGCGCCACAGGATACGAGCCGCAAGCCTTGGCAGTAAAACATGGCAATTTAACACACCAACCTCCATCTATAGCTTCCTATAGTTCCTATTGTTTTATTCCAGTTCTATTGTCATTGTCTTCTTATTTGTCGTTTTGACAAATTATTACAATAACAACATGTGCCATTTCACCAAATTATAGAACCAATTACAGTGACTAAATACCTTTTCTCAAGACTTTTAAAAGCAAAGCCATTCCTGGTATCTGAATGAGGTCCACTGTCTTAATGGCTGCAGCTCACTGGTCCACCCCCACCGTTTTTCCTCTCCCACCTCTGTTACCTGCATAAGCCTGGCCCCTCCTGGCAAGCCCCTCCCTCTGCTATCGCCCTTACCGGATGTTTTCGTTGGGCACCTTGCCGTAGGCCTTGATGGCGGCACACTCCAGCTTGTGCTCCTCCCAGGCCTGGCGCTGGCACGTGCGGTTGCAGTACTGTGCAAATTTGCACTGGCCACACCGGTGCAGCTTGGGCTGCCGTCGGAAGCAGCTGTGACATACATGTTCAGCCATGCTGATCACAGGAGAGAGGGAGAAGAAGAGGGCCTGTAATCTGCTGCCGGGATGAAAAGCCCATAAAGTGGCCTGTCTGCGGACATCCCAGTAACTCGCCAGTAACGTCTCCTCTGAGAACCTCTCATCACCGCGGCTAGAAAGTGACAGATGACAAGCGCAGGTTGCATCCTGTGTGGCCCTTCAGCTGAGATGCTACCCAACCACAACCAACCAGGCAAAAATTACATTTAATTATTTAGCAGTCGGTTTCATCCAAATCGACGTGCAAGTGAGAGGACAGGTTGAGACAGTCCCTGCAGCAAATGGGATTATACAATAACAGATGTTTTAAGAGGTGAGGGTGGGACACTTCCAATAATCCTTTGGCAGATATATACAGACCCAACAAGAATGGAAGAACCTAAGGCCTCTAAGCTCCTTTGGTATTTTAGTCTTTGTCATTTTCTATGTTCTGCTTAGGATTTTCTTGATGCGAAGACCAGCATCCAGACCCGACACCATCCAGGTCTCTTTCCTTCAGTGGATAAATAATAACAAAGTTAAACGCACCCATGTCCAACCTAAGCCGTCTGTCAATACAACCTTCTAAATGTATCCTAGAAAATTCTACCTGAAATACTTTCACTTCAAGTTATATATGAAGAAGGGTGCTTAGTCAATAGGGAACATTTCCCATTGTTAGGGAGAAGGAATCTTAGTGAGCCATTGCTGTTACCAATAGTCCCTAGAAGCACAATAAAGCTTTTTTTTGGGGGGGGGGGGGGGGGGGGGAATTCCTCGACTGCTTGTGGGCAGATGTGTCACTCTGCCATTTGGCACATACTATCACTACACACGTCACTTGATCTCCAACCTAAAAATAGGGTGGAGCTGGTGTAGACATGATTCAGAGCAGCAAACGTGAGGCCATTATCAGGTGGGGTTGCATGTACAATTTATTACAGGTTTAAACTGGGGGGGGGGAAATCCTTCAACATCCGTACGTTTCTTTATTCTCTATCTCAGATTTATGTGCCACAAGTTTCATGGACATACAAGGCTAATCAAAAACTGTTACATATGTATGAGGCATTAAATGTCTTTCCTGCAGCACAGCTAATGTCCAATGCTAGCATTTCACAGTACGAGATAGCAGGTTGTGTTCATGCAGTGCCATGAAACACATCAGACTCTATCTCTGCAAACATTAAAAATGAATCATTAATTAACCACTGAGATTAATTTTAGTAAGGAATGGATTGGTTAGGGACAGCACCCAATCCTGTGGTAATCGTTGTGCTGTCTATGTTGTGTATATCGAATCCTAATCGATGTGCATAAAACAGAATCAATATTTATCTAATAAAAATTGAAAATGATATGATATTGCGTTAGAGAAAAGTAATGACAGGCAACTTCAGGTCATGATGGCACAGGACCCTAGATAGCTCTGATACGCTCCGTGTGATGTCACTGAGGCACTACACCAGTGTTTCTGCACCCAGGCCTCGGTAAGCCCCAGATGGTCCACGAGGGAGCAAAAACGTTCACCCTTTCGGGGTCCCTGTGAAGCAGGTACAGAAACACTGTCCTACACAATACCAGTTACAACAGTTACACACATAAGGGTCTTAGGGGAATCTCACACAGCACATGTTTACCAGATAGCAAAGATTAATTCACATATGCTGCATGGGACATAAGAGTCTGGGACTGAAGTATAAAACAGATTGCTCATTGTACTGAGCCAATTAATTAGATTCAGGGCAGCCAATTGTAGGTTTTGTCGAGTTTTGTGAAATATTATAGTGAGTTTGTGATTCTGTGGCATGTACATCCGTCTGTGAGTCTATGTAGTACGTAATAGATATCCCAGCTGTCTAAATAATAGCGGAAAATAGATGTCTCCTAAATATACAATATCTTACTATTTAATGATTTGTTTAAAGATCCAAAACAGATGAAACATATTTAGGATTAATTAAAATGCAGAAATAGAACAAATTCGAGGCCTACTCAAGTATGGAGAGTGGAAGACAACTTTTCCTCAGAACCCAATGAAACAATTTTTAAGCATCAAGTCATTAGTGCCTATGACAATTAAGCATCACTTTGATTTCTGTTTAGGACTATATGTGTCCTATGACTTTTGTACAGTTGTTTAAACTAAATCCATGCAGTGGTGCTGCAGTGTCTTCAGTGGAATATGAGCTCTAGGATGTTTTGAAAGAACCAGAGAACTCCATAGGATTTCGGCAAAGATTCGGTACGACAGCATGCCATGCTTTCAGTGCATTCAGGTGCCACTTCAAAGCAGTCTTGTTTATAAAATCAATCAAACACAGAAGCAGAACTCCATAAAGAAGAGATGGCTCTCACATGGAAGCCTTCTCCTCAGGTTCACCATGCCTTCCTTAAGTGCTCCACCTCCCATGCTCAAGGTTAGAGAGCCTCACCTGTCAAAGACGACGGCAGCGAAGCTTGGCTCGGCAAAGAGGACATCTCCGGCCCACACCTCCTTGGTGGTTCTGAGACCCCGGCCTTTCCCAGGCACGTCAAACACGTCCACGCTTTCCATGCTGTCCTGATTGTTGTGTGTAAGGAAGAGATTGGAGGACACGTTTGTAGTACACTACTGCCGACTGACTCCAAGTCTCTAAATCACTGCACCTGCTTGTTCCACTCCCATACCGCCCACTGCCTAAAATAGACCCATGTCTCCAGCCGTACCATCTCATGGGCAAAGACGGGGGACGCACGGTGCAGGGGTTTAGCTAGCTAGAGATTACAGGACACTTCAATAGAAGCAGTTCCTTCCACTTCTAATGTTTTTCAAAAAGTTTAATCTGGCCCACCCCAATCCACTCCCCTCCCTTTGAGACACGTTGGGTCGTCCCAGAGGTATTTTTATCCAACAGCTGTGTCTGTCTGTCAGTGGCAGCTGAAAGACAGCTGACGGGACCAGCTCACTCTCTGATCTCTTCCATATCATTCATTCAAATTCTCGCATACTCTCTTTCTCGCATGTTCTCTCTCTGGAAATATCTCCTCCCCCAGTCCTTGTTTCTTCTTCATTTTTTTCCCAGTCCTTGGTTATCCATTGTAGGGCCAATAATTTCCATATAAACGCAGATCCTGTAGCTCAGCAGGTACCAACATTGTGGTAAAAATGCAAAGGTGGTGGATTAAAATCCCAGGAAGCACATACAATAACAAATCAAATTTGGATCCTTTCCTTCTACTACAAGTCACTTTAAATAAAAGTGACAAAGAAATATAATAATGTCTAAGCATTAAGTCATTAATAACACACGTTCAGTGCCTGGAAGAAAAGGACCGGTGACCATTTCACTGGAAGTTTCTAGAAGCAGCAGTTAAAACTGTCTGTAGACTGATCGTGTCTCATTCCCCCCAAACAAATTTAGAAATTCATTATCTGATTAACACAATAAGTATGGAACAAGATGACCCAGTATATCCATACAATTGGCTTAACTCACCACAACTTAAATACACAAAATACACATCCCCTTTTAATGGTGATATCTGGGCAACACAGTCTTGTCTTGGTTCTTGACTGCCAGAACACCCAGGGATGGCCTTGTTTTTGTGATATACACTCGGTGGAAATGGAGATACAGCATCTATGTTGCCTCACTTTGGACAAAATATGTAAATGTGTAAAATATGTCAATGTGAACCTACAGTATATAACGAAATGCCACAAGTTTTCTGGGAAAAAAAACAATCTATGGAATTAATCTTCTGGGTACTTTATTTTCAGGAAATGTTTAATATATCAGCCTGCATCTCTGTGCAGAAGCTGCATCAGCCTGCATCTCTGTGCAGAAGCTGCATCAGCCTGCATCTCTGTGCAGTATCTGCGTCAGTCTGCATGTGCTGCATCTCTGTGCAGAAGCTGTGCCAGCCTGCATCTCTGTGCAGTATCTGTGTCAGCCTGCATGTGCTGCATCTCTGTGCAGAAGCTGCATCAGCCTGCATCTCTGTGCAGTATCCGCGCCAGCCTGCATGTGCTGCATCTCCATGCAGAAGCTGCGCCAGCCTGCATGTACTGCATCTCTGTGCAGAAGCTGCGCTGGGCACCTGGGACTCCTTAAAAGTCAAGGGAGTCGAAGTCTACAAAGAGATCACAGAGAAAAACACAGAGACTGACTCTTGGGCCTACAGATCAGCATCCAGCATGTCTCTGAAGGCAAGCAGGCAGGGTGGTCCTCTGAAAGCAGACCCTTAAGGTAACATAATTACTATCTATTTCTGTCACAAAGAACAGGCTGAAACAATGAAAGATAAGAGATGGAGACAGATGCTGTGGGAATGACCATAGTACTGTCACACTAAAAGCCAAGCCAAAGATGAGTAATGTTATTACTAAGTTTGGGAAAAGTGTCAAACATCAAACATAAAATAAATAAATACAGAAAATAATCTGTTACTACTGGTAACACCACACCACTGTTGCTACTAATGCTGTTAGTATATCAGAAATAATGTTTTTTTCCTTCTTGAAAAGTCCATGAGTTGTCCCATGTTGTCTTCAGTGGAAAGATATTAGTGGATAGAATGACAAATACTTGCTACTATTGTTATACTTTTTCAAAATTATCAAACCTTAGGTACTTCAAAACCTAAAGTCACCCCAGTATTTGCAGACATTGTGTATGTCTGGCTAATCGATCTAATTCATTAAATAAGCTAGCGATGAAACGTAGTGAATATACTGAAATAGCTGTGGTGCCCCTGAGGAGTTTGGGAACAGGAGGGATGTTCTTCTAGCCATCCAATAAGATACCATTAACTTTTTCATATTTTTTATTGTGTCATTTTTCATTCACATGTATTTTAATGCAGTGACATAAGCTTCTTATAATGGGACCAAGTGCGAGACTTTTAATGGTTAAATGTTACAGATGTACCATGTATCTTTGGAGATATAATGAAGACAGGGGTCTAGGTTTCATGTTAACATTGCCCAGACCTCCTCCTCACCAGCCACCTCCTTCAGCTCCACTGGGGAGTACCAAGGCGTTGACATAATCTCTCCAGCATGTCCTGGGTCTGCTGCCCCAGGTCCTCCTTCTGGTTGGACATGCCTTCTAGATAGACCTCCCCAGGGAGCCGTCCAGTGCTTATAACTTAAGGTATACAATGTGAACATTTACAGCTTTGTCATAAAAAGAAAAACTGGACACTTTAAACCAGACAGATTTGTCAGCCAGGTAAAAGGTATATGTATATTGTCTTGGTTTCCAATGTGCTTCAGTAATTTAAACTAATATATTCTGGTGCCAGGCACACCGAGGCATGACAGCGGCAGTGAATAAAGACAAGGAGAGACGTATTCACACGAAGTTGCTCTTTATGTTAGTCCTCAAAAGGACCATACAACAAGCATAATAACACAGAAACAAACATGGCAGGCAAACACGGGGAGGTTACATGCTACACGGGAAGGCTGACACACAGTAGGTCATTACACAACATTAGAGCACATCAGGACATACAACACAGGTAAGGGTACACATGATACTCGGGATCACAAAATTTTTGCAAACTAAGACATTGACCCTCCGTGGGCCCCTCCATTTCTGTGGGCCCCAGCGCAGCTGTACTTTAGAATTAGAATTTAGAATTTGGTGAACAGTGGTCATTGTTGACACACCACAGCACACAGTACACAACAACAAAATGTGTCCTCTGTATTTAACCCATATGTGACATCGTGACATAGCAGGGGGCAGTTAATTCAGCGCCCGGGGAGCAGTGCTTGGGGGCGGCACCTTGCTCAGGGTACCTCAGTGGTGCCTTGTACTTGCTGCACTGCCTGTAGTTCCACCAGTGTTCTAATAGTAATACATTTTATTCAGGCTAAATATGTACTTACAGCCCAGATAAATACTATAAATTTAAATATTGTCTTTGATGGCTTAAGATTTTTTGCAATGTACTGTAATATAAACTGCACATAACCATGCACAAGGAAAGATAATGAATGATTAGGTGTATAAATAATACAAAAGCCACGGATCAGATAATGTCACAGCAAACACAACCCAGATTCTCAGTTCTGTATTACGCCAGGCACACGATGGTTGCAAAATAGTGATTCACAGAGTCCCTGAAAGCCAGAAGTTTCAATAACTCGTATAGCCTCGTTATCAGGTTAACCTAGGGTTGTCATTAACCTTACGAGGAACTCTTTGAAGAATAGGTTGATAAGTGATGTCATTTTTCAATCCAGATTGGAATGCAGCTTGCTTTGCATGTTAAGGGGAGCAGAAAAATATTATTTACATCAAGATATTAATATTTTCTGGTACTCATGGTAATATAAATAATGATATCATCATTAACGTCTAAGTTAGAGTAAATTTGTACTCCAGAGAGTACAAATCTAGACCAAGATTTTGTTTCAATCAACCAGATGAGTACTCTGTGACTGTGACTCTTAGTACTCAAATGGTTGGTTCAAACAAAATCTTGGTCTGGATTTGTACACTCTCTGGACATGAAATCTCCACCTCTAGCCTATATATTTAAGGGTCCAAAGCACGTAGTGCTATGGAACCTTATTGTTTTTGTTAGGATTATTATTATTAAGGGTCCAAAGCACGTAGTGCTATGGAACCTTATTGTTTTATACATTGTATTTGCTCTGCGTTTTCTTATATTTAAATATTTGCATTCAGTTATGTATTCAATAGTGGAGCTTTTAGGTGTTAGTCATTTCAAAATGTGTAAAGATAAAACAGAAATATATTTAAATGTGGAAAATACTACTAAAACTCCGGATTCGTTTTGTGGATAAACCTTTTACAGATGTGTATTACGTAATATATTGTTTATAATGTAACTGCTTCAGGTTACATTGTTATTCTTCGTTTAGCGTCGTGTATTTCATTAAGTAGGAAATTAAAACAGAATTTCAATAAAGCATGTACGTGCTCACTCCTCCCGTCCGTATGGTGGCGGTAATATAAAAAAAATGGTAAGATGATAAACCACGTGATAGGGGTGACCCGGTAATTGTATATTAGTGTTGGCATCACGTGTCACGAGTTTGACGTAACAGCAATGGAGGTATTGCTGTATGTGGCGGCCGCGGTAGTTTTAGTCCTGTTGATTTTACTTGCGATTAAAGTACGAAGAAAGCAAGATGCGGGTGAGTGAAGATGTATGAGCTCTAGATGAATAGTCCAACATGATCAGTGGACTAAGAATTGGTTACATAATACATACCTAGAAGTGATGTCAGCATGTCGCCACAGAAGAGAGATGTTTCTATTGACATTGTTTTAAATGAGTCTTAATATGTGTTGGGCATCTGCGTTAGGTTGTTACAGCCCGCTATTTTGTAATGGCAGTAGCTGCTGCTTGTGTCTGAATTAAAATCAAGGACGCCGACTTACAAATCGTGATGAAAATTGCTAACTGAAACATGTAAGGATAGCCTTTAATGTCCAACGCTCCGTCATTTAGATCCATCATTACATCATTGCACATAGAATTTTAAGGATTAAGATTAATAATTAAGATTTGAATAGACTTGAATGCATAAAGATTTATGTTCAGCTGTCAAAAGTTGATGTTTAAACTGGTGTGGAAGGTGCTAGATATTACTTTTAAGTTATTTTTAATAGTACAAATCAGTAGCACAATGAGTTTGAATGCAAAATATTTGTACTGGTTTTACTAAGTTCTTTAAAAAATGAATTGAATCTGATTTTTACTAAGTGGCCTAGAAACAGGATTTATTGTGGAGCAGTATTTACATGAGAGGTTAATAGTTTAATACATAGGTGGCACGGTAGTTACATTCATCTTATTTTGCCTAATGCCTTTTTATTTTAACTTTGGCCAAGATAAGTCCCTCTCACATCTAAATAAACAGCCAGTTAAAATAAGCAGTTTTTGGTTAGGAGTCCTTTGCCCGTGATAAGAAGGTTGTGTGGTTGGCAGTGTCCTCACCGTTTGGCTCTTGAACAATGCCCTTAATCCCGGTTGTTCCAGGGACACTGTGCCTGATCTTTGATCTTCACTTGTATGTTGCGTTGGACAGAAGTGCCTGCTAAATGTATAAATGTCAATATTTTAAATTAATGTTTAGAAAATAATATCTAAAGCTTTCTGCTCCTCAGGCTCATTCCACAATATCTGATTACTGGGTGTTAATTGTAGGATGTTACACCCATACAGCCTCATAACATGGACAAGAAGTGTGACGACTGGAGTACCATATACACTTAAAATTGCTTCCTTACTCTTCCTCAGTTGGCCAGGTTCAGGAAGATGTGGTCGGTCGAGCAGCAGGGCGCCACCCAGTGGTGGATGAGCGAGGTGCAGGCATGCCCCGACGCAGAAACCTCAACAGCAGGATGATTGCCCAAAGACGTGTACAGAGGCAGGCTCAGCCGGATGCATCTGATAGCGGTACTTGTTCCTGGACCAGATCTGTGAGGTCTTTGAGTATCATTCAGGGAACAGCTGTGGTTGTGAGCCATGCTCTCTGTATGTCTCTTTCTTCACGTCCCTGTAGAGGACAGCAGTGTGGAGGAGGGTGTGGGACCACAGGTCCAACCTACAGGAAAGATTGGATTCAAGAAGCAGAGAAAACTAGAGGAGAAACAAGCCAAGAAAGCCCAGAGGGAGGTAGGACCCAAAACAGACAAGTATAACACAGAACCGTTAACTCCAGTTACATGTGTAAACCGCACGGGAGTGCAGAACAGCCTCCAGGACTGGTGGGTTTCATGGTCCTGTCTCCTGTAAGGTAGCACTGTTCTGTGGTCTCCAGCACTGTCGGTAGTGTTTGCAAGGTGTACATTGAGGTTTTACTTTTATTGGAGGGTATCACACCACATATGTCATCAGTAAACATAGTCATCGTTTCTACCTTGCACCGTCACACCTAAACACAATTTGCATTTTGGTCCTGCAAATGGATTCAGACTGAGAAATGGACATTTCAATTGTCCTTTAGCCCACCTTGTTTGTTGGCTAATTCTTCCAGTAGCTGGATGTTTCTTTTTCCCTGTCATCTAAGTGTTAAACCTGGAGTTTCTAAAATCTGAATTTGAAACATTGCAAAAGATATAACTGCTGAAATATTTCTGAAGATGGTCCCAGCCCCTTCATGTATTGCCTGTGGATGCATAGCTGTGTTTGAGGGTCGTCTGCGTGCATAATCTTAGGCTCTGTGCTGCAGGCAGAGCAGGAGGAGAGGGAGGAGAGGAGGCGGCTGCAGGAGCTGAGAGAGCAGGAGAAGCGGAAGGAGGAGGATAAGGAGCGGCTGCTGGAGCAGCGGCAGGTATTTGGCGGCTCACGCCTGCATGCTCTTGTGATCATGCACGTGACTGTGAATGCAGTGAATACACAGACGTGCACGTCGACGCACAAGCACACTAAGACAGACGGTGCACATGCTTTCTACCTCTCTCCAGGAGGAAGAGCTGCGCCGGGCGAAGGAGCAGCAGGAGCGGAAGGAGGAAGAGGAGTACTTACGACTGAAGGAGTCCTTTGTGATTGAGGAGCAGGGAATTGTTGAGGAGCTCAGTGAGCAGGAGGTGAGGAAACCAAGTGAATGAGAGAAGAATGTGTATGAACCTTTGGGAGTATAGTACTGAGTCCTCTTTACCTGTGTGACAGGCATGCAGGAGTCATGTGACAGGCATGCAGGAGTCATGTGACAGGCATGCAGGAGTCATGTGACAGGCATGCAGGAGTATGTTGTCAGTGTATGTGAAGAGTACATGTGCATGGACTGCATTCTTTGTCACACTTTTTTTTTTTGTCTTAGTCTTCGTCAAATGACAGTTCTGTTTTTTTTTTTTTTTTTAATGACTGTTACTTCTGTTTTTCTTTTTCCCCCAGTCTCGAAATTTGCTGCAGGAGTTCATCCAGTACATCAAGGTAAGACCACAGATATGGCCGAAGGAGAAATTGTAAGAGAGCTCACCGGAAGTCTGGTGTAATTATTCGACTCTTACCAGGTCATCCTGGAATTAGGTTGGGTGCTGATAGCACAAATTAGTGGAATTCGTAAGAACTACTACATTTATCCAGTGAATGGTTTGTTGTGACCTGTTCTGTTTCCTCTGCCCAGGACTCCAAGGTGGTTCTGCTGGAGGACCTGGCCTCACACTTTGAGATGCGCACCCAGGTCAGTTCAGCCAGCATGCGCTGTATGTGCTCATCCCACGTTACCTGAGACATCTCTCACGAGCTGGTGACGGCTGTTAAGACATTTTTTTTTAATGTTGAACCTTGCAGGATGCCATCTCTAGACTGCAGGACCTCATTGTCGACGGTTCCCTCACAGGTGAGACCAAAAACTAGCCGCTATTTTAAAAACGGCAGTGCTAAACATCTCACTGCAGCTTCACTGCATCTTTATAAAAGCTAGTTTCAGGTGATTCAGTGTCTGTCAGTGATCCATACTGCATATATTCTCCTAATCTGCATATCTCTGTCCAACTCTTACTCACTTGTTGTCGTTCTCTTCCCCAATACTGCTATCTCTTGCCTCCTGCTTTCTCTCTCCCTCCATCTCCTAGGAGTGATAGACGACAGGGGCAAGTTTATTTTCATCACGCCAGAGGAGCTGAGTTCTGTGGCCCAATTCATCAAACAGAGAGGCAGAGTGTCCATTACTGAACTGGCCCAGGCCAGCAACTCCCTGATCAACTTGACCCCAGTGGTCCGCAACACAGCCTGAGGGGGGGCTGCCCCATATGTGGGCATGCATGCACGCACAGTAAAAAAAAAAAAATTGTATAATAAAGTTAAGTCTTTAATGTTTCTGTAATTTTTGATGCGACCCCTAAGAGGCAGTGTGGCATGCTGGTAAAACCCGAATTTTACAGGGTTACCGTGGGTGAATGAATGAGTAACTGCCTGTGGGAGCTGGAATCTGCTCCCACATGTTGCTCATCGAGTACCTGGATCCCAAGCTCAAATGTACTGGCCTCCAGTAAGCACACATCTTAACGACCTGTACCAGAATGTTGCTTCTGTTCTGACCCCATGTAAAATGTATGATTTGCACTGGCTTCAGAGGCTAGATCCTGACCATAAAGGTTGTTGGATGCTTTGTTATTGGAGTTTCCAAGTCGGAAGCCAAGGTGCAGTGTTTTGCTACTCTAATAGCAACTGGTGTCAGATTAAGACCCCATACTATTGACTAGAGCTGACTTCATTTGGGTACCTATGAGCACTATTGGATCTGGAGCTCCACGATGTGGTTGTTATGCGCTTGTTGTATATTCCCCAGCATAAAGCATTCGTGCTTTTCATGCAGCAGAATATAAGCGGCCCTCCTTGCCTGCTGGAGGAGGGGCAGGAAGCCTAATGTTGGCTGGAGCACATTGCCATGGCAACTTTGACACATTCTGGATGTTACCGGTGAAACTGTGAGTGGAAAGAGTCCTAGGTGGGTGCTGAGGGGCTGTGAGTGTGTGAGTTTGCTTCTCTGCTTTTCCTGCTGATAATGACATCAGTGAGCATATGGGTTACACTGAATTCATAGAAATGGGACAGTGAACAACCTCTTTAGTTATTGTAATTTACAGTTTGTTTCTGAACACGCAGAGCATAAAAACACTTGTTCTCATTTGTGTATCAGGTGATTTTAAAAATGAGCTGTTGTGCTGTTGTATGCATTTAAAATATGGAATCAGCACCACGGACAGTGATGAACCTCATAAAGCTGAATCTCTCACCTGCTGATTCTTTGTTAATTGTTTAAGTCATTTAACTTTTACTTGCTTTTCCATCAACCCCTCTGATGTATTATTTCAAATTTATTTGATAATACAAAGTGGAAGCTGAAACCTTTGTTGTGTTTTGCGTTGTTGCACACATAGATGCCTTTCTGTTGAGAGCCTGGTGAATATTTCACCCCTCCCCGTTCCTTGTCGATGAACGCTTGCTGTGGTGACATCCCAGGAGAGGCGGGACCTTCGCTCAGTGATGGTTTGTGTCGCCGGACACATGCGTGAAAATAAGGGAGATGCAGATTGAGAGCACACGGAATAGCCAAGGTGGTCCTGGGGAAATCGATGTCACCAAATGAAGGCCCCGCCGCGCATGCGCGGAGCACCGGGAGGGGGCGTTGCTGGAGGACTAGTGGGGGGCGGGGCGGAGGTGGGCGTGTGGTACAGCTGATGCACGCAGCCGCCGCTGCCTCCATCACCCGATCGCTACCACGGGAGATAACAGCAGCATCCGCCGCGACCCTCACAGCGCCGCCGTAGCTGCCGCGCAGACCCAGCAAGCGAGGCGGACAAAGAGGAGTCGGGAGGGACGCCGCAAAGCACAGCTCGGGGCCGTTTGGAGTCACACGCCGCCGACGGCGGCGCCGCAAACAGTGAGTACGGATTAATAATGTCACGGCTGCGTGCTGCTCGCCCTATTGCACAGATGCGGCGGCGCCAGATGTAATGGACGGCGCCCGTCCCCCGCCTCGCCGTTTGCCGTATTTATCCGCAAACGTGAGCGGATCTTTCCTTTTTAAATCCTGCTATAGTTGCTATTCTAGGATGGAGGAGAGAGAGCGAGGGAGGGGGAGATGGAGAGGGGGTAAGAGAGAGAGAGGTAGATGAAGCTACGTGCTGGGGGTGGGGGGTGCCTAGTGTTTGTTAATATTACTCATCGGAGTGGAAGTAAAGTCGGTGTAAAGGCGACGGAGAGAGGAGTAGGGTGCGCTGCCTGTGCGGCGATGCGCGAGGCTCGTCCCCCCCCCCGCATCGGGACGCCCGGATCGGCGGAGCGCTGCTGTGTGCCGACACGCATTATGTAATGTTTTACCAGGGCGAAGAAGGAGAAAATAGATCTACTCGTTTCTCGCCCCCCTTGCGGCATGTCGACTCGGGTTTTAACGCCAGACGCGGCCGCTTGAGTAATCCGGTCATTATCCCGCTTTTATACGATTGCCCCCCCCCCGTGATAGATGTAGGGTGAAGCTTTGGCGTCTGCGTGTGTGTGGTAAGGTGTGCGCAGATGGAGGTGAGGATGCAGCGATGTGCCCGGGCTGCGGTGATGGCAGGAGATGGATAACGCTTGCAACGTGCATCTCGGCCAGATAAGGTCCGGATGGGATATATTTGGTGCGCTGAGCGTCAAGTGTATACCGTTAGACGGCCAGGCGGTGGAATTTGCGTTACTGAGGTGTATATCGCGTAGTATTTAGTGAGCAAGGTGCGTATTGTATATACGGATGTATAGTGCAATAATGCGGGATGTTTATTTAATGGTACAGTGTGTAGCACTCTGCGTGTAAGGGGAGTACGATGTTGTATTGAGGTGTTTGCTGTGTAGTACTGGGCATGAATCAAGTACGAGGTGTGTTGCTTTGTATGATGTGTAGTATTGGTGGGTATCTGTGTTGTGGGGATTTGTAAGGTGGCCGGTGAGTAGTTTGGCTAGTATAGTGTTGGATTTGCCAGTGTGTGTGTGCGATCTTCGGTATGTCCTGTGTGTAGGTCAGGGAGTGCGGAAGTGGGGTTAGTAGGTACATTTATATTTGTAACATCTGCTATTAATAGAGAAGGACATGGTAGGGGAGTGTGATCCTCAGGTTTTACTTCTGAAGGTGTAAGAGATGAGTCCTGGTTGTCAGTGTGTGTGATGTGCAATGTGTATTAGCTACGTAGCGTGTAGTAGCTGGTTTTCTGTGGTTATCAAGAAGCAGAGAGTTTGCTGGCCCATAGCACAGAGTGCATTAAGTGTGTAGCCGCTAATCCTGTAAGGCTGTATAATTTGACGTGTTGCACGTGCTTGACACATTCGCTTTCAAAGATGTCATTTGTTGGGCTCTGGGCGCCTTCCGCGTGTCCTGGGCCTCAACAGAGGCGCAGGCATATACCCATGGAGGACGGAGAGTGCACTGTGGGTCCCCTTGGGCCAGTAGGTGTCCAGAGAGGGGTATTTATCTGGGGGCATTTTCTGAGGCCGGGTGGCAGATATTCAGCAGCGGTGTGTTGGGGCTCTTTGGTTAATATCCCTTCAGTGGGTGTATTTCATATGCATTTTGTATATCGCTCCGTTTGTAGGCCGCCATTGCGCGGAGCTCTCAGATTTGCACATGAGACTCTCATGTGTCCATGCAAAAGGTCATGGGCACTTTGCACCTTAGCAGAGCACGGCAGCCTGCAGCACATGCCTGCACACGCTTCCCCTTTGTCGAACGGCCTTACCTGAGAATGCTGTTGATCCAGAGGAGTTCAAACTTTTGTGCATCTCTGCTTCTCCGCCATGTCTGTCGGAGTGCCGCCGTTTCGAAAACAGAGTTGTATCTGTGCCCATTGTGCGCGCCTGGGTGTGTGCATATGCGCTGTGAGCGGCGCGTGAGAGCAATGATGTAATGCTCGTGAGTGAATGAGCCAGCGAGCAAGGAGGGGAGTTTCAGCATGTGCCTTCAGTAAGGCCACACAGAAGCTGGGAGACCCCTGCTGGCCAAATGGGGTGCTGCAGGGCAAGGGACTCGAGCGGCATTCGTTCGTATTAATCACCGAGGCGCCCTTGCGTGTGAGACACATAAGGAAGCGAGGGAAGCGGAACGGACTCCTGGCGAGCGGAGGAAGAATGGGAGGGTTTACGAGCTGCAGCTGGCTGCAAAAAGCTCACTTCTCATCTGGGGATGGGTGTCCGACACCTGCAAGCAGAGACAGCAGTGTAGGTGCCTGGTGGGGCAGACAGATGAGGCAGAGATGCTCTCCCTGGCAGTAACCATCATGCACATGCAGTCGCTATACTAAATACTCAGGTATGAGCAGGGACACTGTCCCTGGCAGTAACCATCATGCACATNACTAAATACTCAGGTATGAGCAGGGACACTGTCCCTGGCAGTAACCATCATGCACATGCAGTCGTTATACTAAATACTCAGGTATGAGCAGGGACGCTCTCCCTGGCAGTAACCATCATGCACATGCAGTCATTATACTAAATACTCAGGTATGAGCAAGGACACTGTCCCTGGCAGTAACCATCATGTACATACAGTCGTTATAATAAGTACTCAGGTATAAGCAGGGACGCTCTCCCTGGCAGTAACCATCATGCACATACAGTCGCTATACTAAATACTCAGGTATGAGCAAGGACACTGTCCCTGACAGTAACCATCATGTACATACAGTCGTTATGATAAGTACTCAGGTATAAGCAGGGACGCTTTCCCTGACAGTAACCATCATGTACATACAGTCGTTATAATAAGTACTCAGGTATAAGCAGGGACGCTCTCCCTGACAGTAACCATCATGTACATACAGTCGTTATAATAAGTACTCAGGTATAAGCAGGGACGCTCTCCCTGGCAGTAACCATCCTGCACATACAGTCGTTATAATAAATACTCAGGTATAAGCAGGGACACTCTCCCTGACAGTAACCATCATGTACATACAGTCGTTATAATAAGTACTCAGGTATAAGCAGGGACGCTATCCCTG